AATGGATGTGCGTCTCCTCCATCTTTTCAGGAGCCAGCTAGGGGGTCCAGCATACCCCACTGTGATCCAAGTATCATGTGATGGTCCTTCTGCACCTGCCCTCTTGGATTGAGGAAGACTGAATACCAACCCTTTAGGAGGGCTTGCCCTGTAGTAGGGGTAGGGGGTAGGGACTGATTTCCTACAGTATTGTCCCTCCTTCAGAATGGGAGGTGATAACTGCCATCTCAGGAATTCTCAGTGAAAATTTTAACCGTTGAGCTGCAAGGGGAGGGAAAGGTAGCAAGCACAAGCTTGTAAGAATGGACGCATTGGAGGGCTTCAGGAGCGAGTGGTGCTCGGTGAAACTTTTGTTTCTGTTTCATAAAAAAGAGTGCATGTCTATTTTTAGAAACATTTGGAGTACTGGACTGCCGTGGTCAAGAGAGTTTGTAAACCATGGGGCTGGATTCAGATCTCTCTCAGTAGAGGGTCTGCATTGGGAATGGAGTTAGCAGTTGCAAACAACTCAGGGAAACCCATGTGACTAGGGCTTGGGGGTCTCCCCACGGCTGCAGCTATCTGGAGGGTAATGAACAGGAGGATGAACTGGAAGGGCTGGGCGGGGGAGAAAGCTGTGTTTTCCACTGTGGGTAGAGGGGTTGGGAAAGGCAAGGGAGGGGGCTCTCTCAAAAGTACCAGGATTGCTCAGGGTCTCCATGGAGCCCAGCAGGAAGGTAAGAGGTGGTTGGTATTCAAGTGGGGTGGGCACATGCTTGACCACGCCAGCGGGCCTTGCCCTCCACAGGATCAGTACTCTTTAGCCTTTGCTTCAGATCCAGGATCCCCAATGTCTCCTGTGAGACTCTGTAGACTGGTGTGACTTGGGGCCTGTGGTCTGGCCCTTCTGTCCCATTAGGCCCTGTGCAGCTGGGTTTGTGGAGGCCTGCTGGCTGGCTAGGAGCTGTTTATTTTGGGTTAACAGTCCTGCTCCCTGCTATATTTACCTTGTGAAGCTACATGCAATCTGATCTGATGTGCTCTCTCTGGGACACTGCTGGGGCCCCCGGATGTCAGCTGCCAGATTCTGCCAGGCCTCCCCTGACTTACTCCCTGACCCTGTGGGGCAGAACCCTAGTGGGAATCATACTGGGAGATGACTCTTATGCCTGTGAACAGTTTTCATCAGGGTTCCTGATGTATGCCAGCCACCTCTTATTCCTCATTCAGAATCATTTCTTGTGTGTAGCCCTGTGGCGTTGAACTCGGTCCTACCTATGGCAATGGTGCATATGGCCAGCCTGTGTTGGACTTCCAGAGTGGTAGATGAGGGTAATGGGGTTTCTTCCAGAGCACAGTGGGTAGCAGACCCTTCCCTTTCCTTGGGGACTTCAGCCTTCTCTCAGCCCAAGGCTGTGAGGACACTGACTTTTAGTGCCCCTAGTCCATGTGTGCCTTGGCTAGGTTTTATGGCCCTGGTGATGCTGTCCTGCAGAGATGGTCACTTGGGTGGAGTACACTTGCCCCTAATGCCCACATCAGGGGACAGCTAGTGCTGCCTCAGAGAGAGAGATACCAGGCTCCTAGTGAGGAATAGTGTGCCGGCCTGGGGAGCCCACCTCTAGCTCTGTTTTTCTTTTTAACTAAGATTTATTGGCTGCTGTGCTAAACATTTACACATACCGTGTGAAGGAAGCACACCCTCATTACACATGGGCTGGAGAGTGGCTATGAGGTCCCCCTGCCCTGCCCTAGAGCAGGATAGCTACCTGTCTGCAGTGGATCTCCTTTCTCTGAGGCAGTTGCCTTGTTTGAAAATGAGTAATGGGTGTGTCTTATCTGTCATTCTGTGTGTATGTGCATGGTACCCAGGGCCTCACCACACTAGGCTAGCATGCTCCTGCTGAGCTGCAGCCTCTGCCCCAACAATGATAATAACTAGTAAGAATCATTGATACTCTATAAACTTTATCGTAAGTCAGGTCATGTTTATAGGGCATTTTGTGCTCAGTAGTCATAAGCAGGCCAAAACTGGGGTATGGAAGAGTTTAAATACTTGTCCACGGTTACTGGCCTTGTAACCTGAAGCACAGTTTTCACAATCGGCTGGTGTTGTGGGTCTGTGTGCTGAACACTCTACAGAGCGGGGGCCAGTATGGCACGTGGAGGTTGCTGGGGTGCAGGAGAGCACACAAACCTGACCATAAACACCCCCAACACCAGACCCACAGAATAGCTCTGCACATCCCCTCCACCTCAGTGGACCTGTTCCCTCAGCCTCTCCTGCTTGTCCTTTCTCAGGTTTCAGGTTCCGGGACAGCAGACCAAAACAGGAAGAGGAAGTATGGGTGTGAGGAGGTGCTGTTGCTGAGGGTTTTGAGCTTCTCCAGGTAGGGGTAGAGACTGGGTCAGAGCCTCGCCTTGCTCTGCTGTTCCGTCCTTACCCGCATGGACTGAGTTGCCTGGCTCCCTTGCCCGCATGGGCTCAGAATAATTCTCAGGGTTGGCATTAGGCCACCAGGGAATCTTAAACAACGGTCAAAATCCTCATGGCAGTGCCCCAAATTTACATGAACTTGAACCGGTTTATAAATTCTCAGGCAAGAGCATCCTTATCCTTGCTAGTTGTGACAATTCTTAGGCAAAAGCCTTTAAATTGTGTTGGAATGTTCTGAAAAGTCTTGGGAATCTACAAACTGGGCTGTTTCACTGAAGGCATCCACTCCTTTCTCCAGATTCTTAGGCTATGTCTCCTCCGACCCTAGTCTCACCCCTCCAGTCTTAGAGAGTTGCATATGAACCAAAACTCCGAGACTTGAGATGGCTCTGACTTGAGGAGCAGGTCCAGGGCTGAGCAGCCTGCCTCCAGCAGGAGGGTGAGAACCACGGGATTTCAGGGAGACAGACGGGTATGGGAATGTAGACTTAAAACTAAATACTAATAAAACCCAGTTTTACTGGTTTCACTGTGCCCCCACAAAACAAGTATTTGGTGTGGATTAACTCAAACATCACACCCCCCCCCCCCCCCATTTACCATCATTTTGTTTTGGTTTTCATTAAAGACTGGGTCTCATAGCTCAGGCTGTCCTTAAACTTGCTATGTAGCCAAGGATGACCTTGAACTTCTCATCCCCTTGCCTCTACCTTCCCAGTGCTGAGATTACAGGCACGAACCACCACACAGTTTATACCAGTGTTGGGAACTGAGCGGAGGGCTTTGTGCATGGGAAGCAAGCAGTCTACCGAGTTACATTCCCAGCCTCCTTTCGTGATAGTGTCATTTCCCGTTTCTTTGTTGTCCTTGACCCCCTCCCGCCCACATGGGCAGACCCTGGCAATGTACCCAATTGCCTGTTGCTCCTGGCCCAAATCTGATGAACTGGCTCCTTTACATGAGGGTGATTTGCAAGGCCCAGAATGCCCCTGGTAACCCCGGGAACTTGGGAGCAACTAGTGTGTGAGTCCTGGCACTGGTAGAGACTGTCCTGGGGCTTGCTGGCTGTCGAGCCAGACAAGATACCCACTGCGTTGAGCGTTTGTGTTCCAAGAAACCTCGCTTCCTTGTTGGCCTGTGTACCTTGTTCTCAGAATGGGCCTAGATGTGACATGGACCATCACATCTCCAGCTTCCAACCGGCTCCTTGTCCCTAGAGCAGGGCATGAAAGAGTCCTGGTTTTGATATGACAGTGAGGGGCCAAATGGAATAGTGGATGATAGTTGTTTTGGTGTGTGTTTTTTTTTTTTTTTCTCAAGACAAGGTTTCTCTGGGTAGCTTTGGCTGTCCTGGAACTTGCTCTGTAGACCAGGCTGGCCTTGAATTCCTAGAGATCCACCTGCTTCTGCCTCCTGAGTGCTTGGATTAAAGGTGTGTGCCAACACTGTTCAGTGTTTTTTTTTTATTATTTATTTTATGTGCATTGGTGTGAAGGTGTCAGATCCCCTGGAACTGGAGTTATAGTTGTGAGTTGCCATGTGGGTGCTGGGAATTGAACCTAGGTCCTCTGTAAGAGCAGCCAGTGCTTTTAACTGCTGAGCCATCTCTCCAGCCCCGATTTGTTTTTATTTGGTTTTTTGAGGCAGGGTTTCTTTGTGTAGTCTTGGCTCTCCTGGAATTAGCTATATAGACCAGGCTGGCCTCTAACTCATAGAGATCACCTGTCAATGTCTCCCAAATGTTGGGATTAAAGGCGTGTATCAACGCCACTCAGTCATTTTTTTTCCCAATGTATATTAAAGTTTTCTTGGTCTGGAGAGATAGTTAAGCAGGTAAAGGTGCCAGCTGCCAGGCCGGATGTTGGTGGATCACACTTGACACCAGCACTTGGGAGCTTGGGAGGCAGAGGCAGGTGGATGTCTGAGTTCAAGTCCAGCCTGGTCTACAGAGTGAGTTCCAGGACAGGCTCCAATTCAATAGAGAAACCCTGTCTAGAAAAACAAAACAAAAAACAAAAACAAAAAAAGTGCCTGCTACCAAGATTGACAACCTGAGTTTGATTCCCCAGGATTCACATGAGAGAATGAAAGAACACCTCCCAAGGCAGAGGCAGGTGGATCTCTGAGTTTGAGGCCAGCCTGGCCTACAGAGCAAGTTCCAGGACAACTAGAGCTACACAGAGGGATCCTGTTGGAAAAAAAAAAAGCAAAAACAAAAAACTTACAGTATGCATGATATACTTTACCATCTTCACTATTTATGATCAACACTGACAGTGGCAGCATTCCCATTTGGAAGATGTTTACTATACACCGGGAACTCTCTCTGTTGCTAAATATCTGTGAATTAATAGGTCACACCTGTTTTCTGTATATGGTAAGGCTAGAGACACTCACTCCCTAAGGATACAGAGTTAATGGGTTCATGCTTGCTGTCCTGTCGGTAGTTTTTGCTACTGCTCTACCCACAGTGGGTAGGCTTTCTCATTCCCAGGAAGAGTCTCTGAGAGGCCACATGACAGGTCTGGTGGGAAAGGGAAATAGGATTTGGCACGCCACTCACTCCCCTGTTCCCCTCCGCTAGGTGGCGATGGTAGAAGTCCAGCTGGATACGGACCACGACTATCCTCCGGGGCTGCTCATCGTCTTCAGCGCCTGTACCACGGTGCTGGTGGCCGTGCACCTCTTTGCACTCATGATCAGTACCTGTATCCTCCCCAACATCGAGGCAGTGAGTAACGTGCACAACCTCAACTCGGTCAAAGAGTCCCCCCACGAGCGCATGCATCGCCACATCGAGCTGGCCTGGGCCTTCTCCACCGTCATCGGGACGTTGCTCTTCCTGGCCGAGGTGGTGCTGCTCTGCTGGGTCAAGTTCTTACCCCTCAAGAGACACTCAGGTCAGCCAAGCCCCACCAAGCGCCCTCCTGAACCAGCCGTCGCCGCCAACAGCAGCAGTGCTGGCATCACCCCGGGTGAGGCGGCAGCCATCGCCTCCACGGCCATCATGGTCCCCTGTGGCCTGGTTTTCATTGTCTTTGCCGTTCACTTCTACCGTTCGCTCGTCAGCCATAAGACAGACCGGCAGTTCCAGGAGCTCAACGAGCTGGCCGAGTTTGCCCGCTTGCAGGACCAGCTGGACCACAGAGGGGACCACTCCCTGACACCTGGCACCCATTATGCCTGAGTCCTCAGCTTCCTACTGGCCCTGTGGAGCTTTCGCCTTATGCCCTTCCCCATGACCTTGTCTGGAGGACAGCCTGTGCAGGCAACTGGGCTTTACGGGGCAGAGTGTGGAAGGAAGATGTTTAAAAAAAACGAAATCACTGCACTTTGAGACTTTCTTCAGTGAGAATAAGCACTCCCTGTTCTTCCAGCTCTGGGTCCCCCTCCTGGTAGGATGTGGGGTGTGTGGGACAGATGCGCTCTTTGTCCTTTCTCCTCCCCCACGCCAGTGCCACCCGGATGCTTCCTGTCCTGTCCTCCTCAGCCTCCTTCCCAGTCCATGGGGTGTGTGTGTGTGTGTGTGTGTGTGTGTGTGTGTGTGTGTGTGTGTGTGTGTGTGTGTGTATAAGTAATGCATAAAATACACTCACAAGGGACACTGCTTCTTCCTGTCTATGTTTGTGGGGTCTGGACTGCCTGATAGGATGTCCCAGTCAGGTGAGCCACAATACAGTCTTTTTAAAAATTGAGAGACAGGGGATCAGGGACAAAACACTAGCCTGATACAGCCAAAACCTTGGACTCAGTCCACCAACTCTACAAAAACTGTGTTGCTGGGCATAGAACCCAGGAACTTGACCAGACACTCGCCCTCTGAGCTATATTCCAAGACATGTTTGGAAATTTTCTTCTCAAAAGAAGCCTTCACAGACTGTAGTTAAACTGTGTACCCATTTGTTTCTTTTGGAGGTAGTTATAAAGTCACCAGAAACCTGTGTACACAACTGAGCCACTAATTCTAGGAGAAACTCAAAGTTAGGCTCCTGCTAGCCTCTAGTCACAATATTTTTGTTTCATGATTAAAATATTACATTGTATTAGGTGTAATTGAACATAAAGAATATATATTTTGCAGGGTAGGAGAGATGACCCAGTGGTTAAGAACGGTTGGCTATTCTTCCAGAAGACCTAGGTGTGCAGTTCCAGGAGATCAGCAGCCTCTTTTGGCCTTTATGGGGACTTGTCACACATGGAGTTCAGAGACATACAGGCAAGGCAAAACACTCACACACAAAACATTCTAAGACCTGGGTGGTGGTGGTGCACACCTTTAATCCCAGTGCTCTGGAATCAGAAGCAGGTGGATCTCTGTCAGAGGCCAGCCTGGTTTACAGATTGAGTTCCAGGACAGCTAAGGCTACACAAAGGAATCCTGTTTCAGAAAAAAAAAAAGGTTTCATGTAGCTCAGTCTTGCTATGTAGTGGAGAATTTTGAACAGCTGATACATACGCCTCTGTCTCCCCGAGTTCTGGGATGACAGGTACACTGCTATACCAGGTGTTTTGCAGAGCTGGGGAACAAAGAAATCCAGAGCCCTCCTCCCCCCTCCCCAATGCCGAACAGGCTCTCTAGGAACTGAGTGACATCCCTACACCAATATTAACATTTTTTTAATGTGCATGCCTTTGATGGCCAGAAGAGGGCATCACATCACCTGGGAACTGAACTTACAGGCAGTTGTGAACCACAGTGTAGGTGCTGGGAACAAACATGGATGTTCTGTGAGAATTGTTTCATCACTGAGCCATCTGTCCAGCCCAGATACTTTTTTTTTTTTTAAGTGCTCAGACCTGTGGTTTTACAGGATGCCTTGTTAGTTTAGCTTCTCTTGATATTGTTTCATGGTTGTAATCAGATTGTGCATGTTGACAAGAATAGTCTGGGATTGTGTCAGTCAGTCTGAAACAACAAACCAGGGCTAGCTAGCCATTAGGTGTGTGGGATGTCCTAAGTACCGAGTGCTCCTCATGGGCCCTCAGCATTCTCAGCATGGTAGTCTTCCCTATGCAGGAAACAAAACCTATGCTCAAGAAAGTTAATGTAGCACGCCTTTGTGTCACGTGACCAGGTAGGTAGTGGGGCAAAAGGGGGCAACTTAGAGCATTTATCTCAGCTAGTGGTCACAGAGATGTCAGTCATCTTGATGGAGAGGGTATCAGGGGCATCAGTGTGTGTCACAGCAGCCAAGCATCAAGGGGACCTAGGAAGTGACCACAGCAAGATACAGTCCCTGAGGATGCTCACCCAGTGACCTTCCTGTCAAACACCACCTCCCATGTCTCACCACCTCCCAATAATGCTGTGGAGGAATGACTCCCTGCCATTGATTAGGTCAGAGGCCTTCTGAGCTAATCGTCTTTGGACATGCTTGCACAGTCCCCGAGGTGCTTTCCTAATCCCCTGGGCTCTTCCTAATCCAGTCAAATTGACAGTGAAGATTAACTATCTATCACAAGTAACTTGCCAGGCCTCAAACCCTGAAGATGGCTCAGAGCTCAGGGACTCGAAAGAATCTTACCCAGGCAAGTTCTGGCATTGCTTGAAGAATGGGAAGGCCCAGGGGGCCCTGGGCCCACCTTGCAGAGCTACAATGAGCAGGTACTGAGCTTTAGCCACCACTACCCAGGACCTATCTTTGCCACAGTCCCCACCAGTCCCTCTTGTTGGTTTCACACTAGGCCACTTAGTATTGCTTCCCTTGGATGTCAGATGGTTCAGCAGGAAAAGGAGCTGCCCCAAGTTTGACCACCTACGTACATTCCCCAGAGCCTGCATGGTGGGAGGAGAGAGAATCAGTCCTAGTTGTCCCCCGACCTCCACACATGGCAACGTGGAACTTGGACACAGTCATACACAATAAATGCCGTTTTTAAGACGTTGCTTACCTGACTCCCCCAGGCCCTGAGTTTGAGAGGTCTGTCCCGGAACTGCAATGTACAAAGTGGTTTTGCTTGCCCTCTTTCTAATGGTGCTGAGCCTCACACCTAGGGCGTTGTGCGTGATAACCAGGCGTCCTTCCGCTGTGCTGTGTCACTGGACCCTATAAAGTAGTTTGGGAGCCTAATGTCTGTCCCACTCCTATCACGTTGCATCTGCCCTGCATCTCAGCATCTTATGCACCAGGACCATCCACAAGATACCAGGCACAACTGGGGAGGGTCCCCAGTGCTACCTCTGCTCCCCAGAGAAGCCTGGATATCACTCCCGTATTAAGTCACCTTCCTGCTTCTGCAGAAACACAGGATCCTGCTGGAATTACTCCTGGACGATGACTGAAGTCTAATGTTTTGTTTCCTGAATGTGTATGGATTAAGAATCACCAAACTGGCTGGGCGATGGTGGCATACGCCTTTAGTCCCAGCACTCAGGAGGCAGAGGCAGGCAGATCTCTGTGAGTTTGAGACCAGCCTGGTCTACAAGAGCTAGTTCCAGGACAGCCTCCAAAACCACAGAGAAACCCTGCCTCAAAAAACTCAAAAAATAAATAATTAATTAAAAAAGAATCACCAGGCTGGCTTGTAGAATACAGATCCCCAAACATCACCATCCCCTATGAGCTGATTCAGGTTGGCAGGTTGGTCTGGGTATGTTTCTGGAATCTTTCTAACAAGTATCCAGACATCTTGAGTACTCCTTAAGGACCTAGGCTCAGAGTTGAGATGTAGCCCATTGGTAAAGCATTTGCTTAGCCTACAGCAGGCTTTGTGTTCCATCCAGCACCAACGGAGACGAGTAAATAAAAACACAGTTTCTCTGCTTTGGCTTTATTTTTATTTTGGATACAGAGGATTATTCATTTGCTTCCAGATTCAACAGTATAAAGTTGTTCTTAAGCCAGACAGTGATGTCTCACTTTCAATCCCAGCACTTGGGAGGCGGAGGCAGGCAGATCTCAGAGAGTTCGAGGCCAACCTGGCCTACAAGTTCCAGGACAGCCAAGGTTATACAAAGAAAACCTGTCTGGGGCTGGGGGAGGGGGTGCTGTTCTTCAGAACTGTTCCCAAGTCCCCAGTTGTCTCCAGAAGTGACTATTGTTGCCTGTTTACTGCTTTTATAAATAAATGTATCCTCAATTCCCACAGCTTTTTGAAGCAGGGTGTCTATGTAGACCATGCTGGCTTCGCAGACTTCTGCCTGTCTTTGCCTCCCAAATGCTAGGATTAAAGGTATGCACCACCTTTAATCTATACATTTCCACTATCTAAGAATATAGAGATCTGGGCTAGAGGGATAGCTCATTGGGTAAGAGCATTTGCTATTCTTCCAGAGGACCCTGTTTAGATTCCCCGTACCCATGTGGTAGCTCACAACCATTTGTAACACCTTTTTGAGCACCAGGCATGCTCATGGTACACATACATGCAGGCAAACACACAAAAATAAAAGAATATATAGCCCTGGGAAATGGTGGCATGCATCTTTAATCCCAGCATGTGGGAGGCAGAGGCAGGCAGATCTCTGAGTTCAAACCCAGCCTGGTCTACAAAGTGAGTTCCAGGACAGCCAGGGCTACAAAGAGAAACCATACCTTGAGACAACAAAATAAGATTAGGCAAGTATTAGGTTGGGGACTTACAAACTTGTTTCTTCTAAAATAGCAGAGAAAGACTATACTTTCAGGGACCATTTCTTCTTTTTATTGAGGGGGGGTTTCCAGACAGGGTTTCTCTGTATTGCTTTGGAGGCTGTCCTGAACTAGCTGGTCTCAAACTCACAGAGATCTGCCTTCCTCTGCCTCCCAAGTGCTGGGATGAAAAGTGTGTGCCGCCACCACCGGGCCCAGGGATCATTTCTATAGTTCATTACTAAAACAGCAGAGAGCCATAGGTCACCTCACAGGTTATGGAGTCACAGGAGAGGCAACTAAAGCTATCCACACAGAGCCTGGTACAGGGTGAGCAATTAGCACCTGTAGTTATGTGAATCCTACATGCTGGAGTCAGGTGCAGTCCATATCACACACCCTGAAGCAGGTCATCATACTTAGAATGTCAGTGTGTGCTTTTCCTTTTTTTTTTTTTTTTTTTTTTTTTTTACGAGACAGGGTTTCTCTGTATTGTTTTGGAGGCTGTCGGTCCAGCCTGGCCTCGAACTCACAGAGATCCACCTGCCTCTGCCTCCCGAGTGCTGGGATTAAAGGCATGTGCCACCACCGTCGGGGGGGGGGGGCTATTTTTAAGATAGGGTTTTTCTGTGTAGCTTTTGGAGCCTGTCCTGGAACTTGCTCTGTACACCAGGCTGGCCTCAAACTCTCAGAGATCTGCCTGCCTCTGCTTTGCAAGTGTGGGACTAAAGGCGTGTGCCACCAGAGTCCATCAAGCTTTTCTGTTTTGTTTGAGCTGTCCTTGTACTCACTATCTGGTGTCAAGCCCTTAATGATTCCCTTGCCTCCATCCCCAGAGTGCTGGGATTACAGGTGTGAGCCACCATGCCTCACTAAATTGGGGGCATTTGCTGAGAGCTTTTAAGACAGAGCTGAATCATTCCTTTGTAGTCTGTTACAAGGTAGCAGTGGAGGCAGAGGCAGATGAATCTCTGAGTTCAAGGCCAGTTTGCTCTACAAAGCGAGTTCTAGGACAGAGAAACCTCATCTTGGAAAACCAAACAAAAAATTAAAATTAAAACATAGCATGTTTAACAACATCACTGCACTAAGATTCCAGTAGCGTTCTTCTCTGTCCCCCATGAGAACCAGGAGTGTCTCCCAGCATAACCAAATGTCTCCAAAGAGCTGGGGGAGAGCAAGAATCAAGAATCCTAGGTGGGGGGGCTAGAGAGATGGCTCAGAGGTTAAGAGCACTGACTGCTCTTCCAGAGGACCTGAGTTCAATTCCCAGCAACCACATGGTGGCTCACAACCATCTACAATTCAATCTGGTGTATATGTAATAAATAAATAAATCTTTAAAAAAAAAGAATCCTAGGTGGGTTTTGGGGGGGTTGAGGCAGGGTTTCTCTGTGGCTTTGGAGGCTGTCCTGGAACTAGCTCTTGTAGACCAGGCTGGTCTCAAACTCACAGAGATCCGCCTGCCTCTGCCTCCAGAGTGCTGGGATTAAAGGCATGTACCACCACCGCCTGGCTCCTAGTTGGTTTTAAACGGGCTGTCTTTTTTTTTATGGTTTATTTATTTATTTATTTATTTATTTATTTATTTATTAGTGTACAGTGTTCTGACTGCATGTATGCCTGCAGGACAGAAAATGGCACCAGATTTCATTACAGACAGTTGTGAACCAGCATGTGGTTGCTGGGAATTGAACTCAGGACCTCTGGAAGAGCAGCCAGTGCTCTTAACCTCTGAGCCACCTCTCCAGCCCAAACCGCTGTCTTTTTACCATAGGATTTCACAATACTGCCCCTACTCAGTGTGTAGCCCAGGCTGGCCTACACTTAGAGATTCAACTGCCTCTGCTTCCAGATACCTGTTATTTAGGGCACCGGCTACCAACACTGTTTTAAAGTTTACTTGAGATTTCTGCCTTAGGCTAAGGAGGTGGGGTCCTACTTTAATCTCAAATCTTGGTGGCCATTATGGCAGAAGGCAGGCTCACCCTGCTCTCTGGGCTAGCTCAGAGGTGCTAGAGCTGAAGTCACTTCCTTGCTCCCCTGTCTGGAATCCTCAGCTCACTCACTCACACATACATACAAACACACACACACACACACACACACACACACTGTTGGGGGAGGTGACCCACACAGTTGGTGAGGCTGCCTCTCCTCTCCCTCAGATTTCCCCCACCCCTGCTCAATCCGTAGCTCCTTGGTACTAGGCCACCAGGTTCTTCTTTATTTTCATGCACTCTGATATAAAATCACAGGGCAAAGGCAGTGGGTTCCCAGGGCCAGCCAGGGAGAAGCAATACCCCACTTCCATTGGCAAAGAATAACCTAGTGTCTGGAGGAGTGGGTGCCCTCTGAGGGAGCCAAGGGCGTGCCCACGGTCGCTGCTTGCTCCTCCTGCAGGAGCTGTACTGGTCTGAGCAGTTTGGTGACAAGGGCTGGTATTTCTCCTGAGCCTTGATGCTCTCTCTCTCTACAGGTGGGGATGATGCTGGAACTAGTATAAGAAACACAATCACCAACACCCTCTCCCTGAAGCCTCACAGCCACCCCAACAAGGGCCCCACAGACAGCTGTGTCAGTGCAGGCCTAGGGCCCACAGGCTTATTTAAGGGTCTTTAGAAAGGACAGGCCACCTGACTTCAACTCAGTGCCCACCTCAGGAGGCTGAGAATGCAACTGAAGAGATCTGGGCTTCTAGGGACATGAGTTTCAAAGAGGAGTAGCTAAGCTGGACTACAGGAGGCAAGAAGCTTTCCTTCTCTGGTCCTGCCCCAAGTCCTCCGGTGATACCAGAAGATCAACATTGTTCCAGGACCCAGAGCTGCCTGAGCCTCATCAGCAGTGGCAGATGCGTCTTCTCACCTGGTGTCACGTCAGTCATCCTCATCCTCTGTGTTCATCAGTGCAGCTATGGCTTCCTTCAGCACACCGTCTGGGTCTTGAATCTCTACCTGGAGGGCAGCAGTGGGAGGGCATTGGTTGGAAGGCCCCAGGCTACCTTGCTAGAGATGCTCTGCTCGAAAACAAAGCCACATCTGTAGCTCCTGGACTGGTGTGGCTGTGGATGCTGGTTTCTGTCTCTCTGGTTCCACCCACCTTAGGAATGGGGAACTGGGTGGGCTCCGGGGCCTCATCCCGGCCAAAGTCAATCATGGTGCCACACTTGGCCACGTCGTCCACCCAGAAGCCTTCAAACAGCTGCCCATGGTCCAGGTGAAAGAAACGCCCATGCCCGTTCTTCATGCCTCTCTCCCAGCTGCCCTCATACCGGTTCCCGTTCTCTAGATGAAAAGATAGGCAAGCATGGGTTCTGGGCCAGGGAAGCAGACAGAACTATCCGGCTGGGCCTCACTAGTCCTCGCTGCTAACAAGGGTGTGCTAGACAGTCATTAGGCACTAGACAGTAGGTTTCAGGTCCAGCTCGACACCAACATAAACATTTCTTAACATTTAACCTCAACCACTTCAAGAGATTTTATTCTTTGGTGTTGGAGACAGAACCTGGCTCATGCACTTACTCAGCCTTGAGGCTACCCGCTCTAAGCTCCAGTTAGTGGGTTTTTTTGTTTTAAATGTTGCTTTTGTTATTTTGTTTCATTTTGTTAGCAGGGCCATGAATATGAGGCTTTGAGTATGCTAGACAAGTGCTCTATATCCCAAGCCTTGGCCGGAAACTCCCTGTGTAGACTAGGAATTCAGAGCTCCGCCTGCCTCTGGCTCCCAAGTCCTGAGATGAAAGCCAAATGAGTTTTACCTCCCCCACCACACACGAGACAGGGTTTCTGTGTAGCTTTGTACACCAGGGTGGCCTCCAACTCACAGAAATTCGCCTGTCTCAGTTCAGTCTCCCGAGTGCTGGGAGTTTTACCTTTTGAAAAACCATTTTGCTACCTCGCTAGCACAGGCTGGGCTCCAAGTCGGAGAAATGCTGCTGATCCCGCTGTTAGGGACCATGCTCGTCTCCCATCTTCACTTCCTTAGCATGTTTGTGTTAAGTGCAGAACCTTGTGTATCACGGAGCATTTGTGACACACATTCAGAGGTGACACACAGCTCTGGGGAGTTGGCTCTTTCCTCCCACCTTGTGGGACCCAGGATCAGACTGAGATGGTTGTGTGTGTGTGTGTGTGTGTGTGTGTGTGTGTGTGTGTGTGTGTGTGTAAGAGCCATTACTCACTGAGCCATCTCAC